TTTCTGTCTAAATATAGACAACCGCTGTGGTCGCTGCTGCTAGAATGATGACTGAGTTGCCTGCGCCACCAGCGATCGCCTCATAGGTGAGTGAGAGAGAATGCGCACTTATTTATGCCTGTGTGTGAAGAGTTGTGTTCACGTTACGTGGCGTTGCTTTGGTCTCGCCTGTGTACGTCACTCATTTGCCTGACTGCGCGTTTTTGTTTATGTATGTGTGCTCGCGCCCCTTCCTGTGCCCACAGCACTCTGCTTGCTGATTAAATTACAGTTTTTTTTCTTCTACTCAGTTTGAAAAACAAAATTTTCTTTGTTGCTTTTGCTGTCATTTCGAAATTCTATGATATTTTGCAACTCGTTCGGCTTGGTGTTCGGCAGCGCTTCGTATGCCTGTTTAGCTGGCTGGCTGGCTGGCTGGCTGGCCTCCAAGACAGGTGCTGCTGTTATGCGTTACGAAAACACCGTTGCCCATGGCTGCTCAGCATGTACAGTTGCAAAATCGGGCAGCTCGCAAACTGTGCCGTCTTCCCTTCCCTCCTTGCCCTTTGGCCCTTACTCATGCTGCAGGCTGATGTCTGTCGTCGCCATTTGCGCAGCTGCCAGAGCCAACACTCACACACACACTCACGCACACACAGACACATATTTACATGTTACGCATACAATTGTATCGCAGGAGCGGAGCAGCAGATTGTTTTGTTGTACTGACATTTTGTATAAACATTTTTTGTATGCAGTGAATTGTAGAATTTGTTGTTCCCTTTTCTTCATTCCTCAACACATGGGCAAATACAGTAAATATACACAGATTTTTAAAGAACGCTACATGATCTTACACTCATACAAGCACACGTGCATATACATGTGCCTGAAATGCTGTAAGTTTGATCTTATGTGGCATTATATACTGCACTCAGTATTCGACATACTTTCATAGGCAATTTCTGGATCGAATTTATGATCGACTGATGCAATATGATCAGCTGTTTTTGATTGGACTGAAACCTTAAGAAGATGAAGAATGTTTCACAGATGTTGGCATTAACATCTAAGTTAACATATATAACTTAACATGCTGATTTCTGATTGGATGGAAACGGAAAGCAGAAGATGAATGTGTAACATATGTAAGGAATTAACATATAAGCTAACATTAATATTAATACTACTGTTAAAGCAAGCTAAATATATTTGAGATAACATACAAATTCTGCAAAGAGAAAAAGAACTTAAATGTTAGATAGAAAATTACAATTGTATTGGAAAATGTTGTTAAATTCATATCATTATATCAAATTCGTATTAAAATAATATACTTCTAAACATGTATGTATATTCTATATGATCGCATATTCCATTTAATAATTTATGCCTTTATTCAATTATTTTTTGTGCTGTTTGTCAATAAGCCAGAACATTTGTTTGCCGAATATCATTTTCGTGGGGTACAGTACGGCTTGCGAATAGAACATGAAGCAACTATTTTAATTTGCATACAACAAAAACGAATTTGCAAAAATCTGGCAAAAGAAATTGCAAGAAAAACAAACGAGCTAAGAAAAACAGTTTTCGCATATGCAAACAAATAAAAGGCTAAAGGAAAAACAAGCAAAGAAAAGTGTCGCCATTTTGATCAGTTTTTCTTTTTGCCTCGTCTTTATGGCGTTGAGCTCTTTGGTTAGTTGCACTGGGCTGTTGCTGTTGCGCGATGATGAGTCTGATATTTTCACGCTTAATCACTAACTGTCCCCATGAGCAGTGCCCCATTGGATGGGCGAACGTCTGAAGACACGAAACATTTTGGAACATGGCCAAAATACTTGACGCTGCAAATGAAATGGCAGAACGTCGACCAAAATGCAAAATGCAAAATGCACCAAAATGTCAGGCGGCAGCCAAAAAAGAGGTGGGCAACAGGCTACACGAAAACCGAGCCAAAAGATGCGACACGGGTTGACAGCGAGAAAATTGAAAGAACGACACACGAAGAAGAGGAAAAAGAGGAAAAGGCAGCAGCGGTGGGACGACAACAACAAATGAAAGGGAAAAACTTTAATTTTCTTTTATTGCGGTCGTCGCGCACAATAATTGCGCGTAAACAGCAAATGAAGAAAGAAAAGGAGAATGAGTAACATATATGTATGTGTGTGTAAAAAGACGATACATTAAATACTCTTTCTATATGTATTTATAGGGTATATGTCATTTGTAGTTCGGTTGTGAGAGAGATTATGTGAATTAAACTAAATATTTTAATCTTGAAGGTAAAGTTTAAAGTATTGTATTAATATTATATATAAATATATGTATATATATAAGAAAGCTTTCGATTTTGATAGGATAATGCTTGTATGGTTAACTATATAGTTCAAAATTTGTACTACAATTGCTGAGTAGATAGATATTTTAGTATATTTATAATTTATTGTTGGTGCTAGAGTGATCACTGCATGGGTCTACCTTAGTATCTATGACAGCAACTGTCTTTAATTTGTCGTGTACTTTTAAAGTTAAAATTACAGTAGTTACTATCTAAATATATCGCAATATACATTATGCAATCATAGAAATTATCAACAAATGATTGATACTCCTATATTTATGATATATTTACTATATATACAAACATACATATATCTCTCTCTATCTGTATCTGTCTCTCTACATATATCTCTAACAATTAATCTATCTAGTTCTCTCTATCTCTATCTCTATCTCTATCTCTATCTCTATCTCTATCTCTATCTCTATCTCTATCTCTATCTCTATCTCTATCTCTATCTCTATCTCTATCTCTATCTCTAACTCTATCTCTATCTCCGAGAAAGTATCTGCTCGATTCAAACTGCCTCATATAGTGGATAGTACCTTTTAGTGATAGAGCATAAAACAAACTGAAAATATTCCGTTGAGATTGAACAACAGCTACAGGTACAAGAGCTACAGATGAGGTACAGTAAAGCTCGCACGCACACGCACAAAAAAGAGGAGAAGCCTCCACAGCTGTCTCGGGTGTGTGCGTAAAACGCGTGCTTGAATTGCTGATGATACACACGCACACACACACACACACACGGACAGTGAGCGCCAGTCACAGACGCATGAATATTTGATGATTTCCATAAAGAAGATACATTTCAAGCAAAAATTGCCAGCAATGACGTTCAATAATTTTCTTCTCTTTTTGCATGACGCACTTTCATTTTAGCCAGCTTCTAATATATGCAAAAACAAAAAGAAAACAAGGAAAAATGAAAGCTTTTCAAGTAAATATGAAATGCTTTACATAATTCGAGGCTAGCCGAAAAGTGAAAAATCTTGCCTTCTTTTAATCGTACGTTGACCTCTAGTTGAGCTCATTAAAGTCAACTTCGTAATGTTAATTAGTGTATGCATTTATTAGTGTGCTATACGTATACGCTTTATATACGTTTTACCGCATTTTCCCTCGTCGGTATTGCCTCACTGTTGCTAACGCATTGCTGCCCAATGTGTATGTGGCGAGCCGAAAAACGACTCAAGAAAATTCTTGGCAAATGTTTTACGTTAATTGAACGCCAAGAAATACCAAAAGGCAACATTGTGTGCGTGTGCGTGTGTGTATTGTGTGTATATATATGTATATACGTATATATAATTCTTTAAGAATTCACGCACAATACATGCTCAGCTGTTGTTGTAGGTCTCAACTGCTGCTGATTTGACTTTATAGATATACACACACATATATACACTCACACACACACGAGGTCTGTTTTGGCTTGTACAGTGAAAATTAGCCCAATTGACCCAACTTATTGTACAGTCTTATACTCTCTCTCTCTCTCCCTTCAATGGTTTTCCTTTTTCAATTATTTCATAGAAGTTTTTTTATCTTTCACATATCTGCAGAGCATGAAGATCAGGTGGGATGGGATAGATAGGAAACATATATAAGGTATAAATTAACTTTATATTTAATTGACCAAAAGTCAAATTCTTAAGCTTTCTTAACTTCGCTCTGTCGCTACTAAATCCGTTTTTAAGCTTCAGACAAATCTTTCTTTGGTTTTCTTTTAACTTAAATGCTTGTTCCTCTTGACTTTATTGAGATTGTTTATGTCAAAAATGAGCATAAAAACTAACGTTAAAAGACTTTTTGAGTGGGTGTAAAATTTTTGTCATATCGCATGTTGAACATTCACCAAAGTTTTGTCTCTTCAAATTGCTATCTACCATAATTTGTCGCAACTGTAGCCATTTTCCTACCTCATATCATTTTCTTTTTCTATTAAACATTTCTTCTTTATGTTGACAGTTTTGTCCGATATTCAAAAAATTTGATTTGTATGAGATGTATTATATCAAATTGAAAGATTTTTATATTGATAAATAATGTCTTAAAAAAGAGGAAAGAATTTTAAGAATCAAAAATAATATTAAAGTGAAATGAATTTTGAAATTAATTTTTTTTTAGATTTGTTTAATGAAGTAATTTATTTATTTTATTTATATTAAAATTTATTAGTTTTTCAATTTTTTGAATTATTTTAATTTCTGACTTTTAGCTTTAAATTTAACATTTTTATTTTTATTTTAATTTAATTTTAATTTATGTTATTATGTTTTTTAATTTAATTTATTTTTTTTGTATTACTTTCGTTTACTTTCCCGCTTTTTTAACTTTGTTAGTCAAAACAAATAGCTAAATAGACTCAGTATCTTTTTCCGATCAAGTTTAAATATATTATACACGCTCAAAGCTGCTTTAGACTCTCTGTTTCTCACAAAGGCTAAATACATTTATAACGTATATAAAAAGTATAGGAAAACAAGTTAATTGCTTTCAATTGATTGCGTAAATAATTAATTACTTTTACCAAAAAATCAACAGAAAGTAATTAAGTAATTCAATGAAATGAATTCTGATTGACAAATTTAAACATGTTAAATCGAAAATTTCTCTTTATAAATAAATGATTTAATTAGATTATAAATTAAAGGTAATTGCCAGAGCTCACCTGCCGAAATGCCGCTGTGTGAACAACATCAAAGAGTCCCAGTCAAAAATAAGCTATAATCCAATCTTGTTTAATTACAGCTATATATATATATATATAATGTTATATACATATATGGATAGATTTATATATATTTAGATATTTGTATTATCTGTTGTATATATGGCAATATGAATGCGATTAAGCCACTGGGTTTTGTGTACTTTTAGGCGTGTTTTATTTCTATCAAATATTTCCTGAATTTCCTGAATTTCCTTCAATTGACTCTGCGACGTCGGCGAGTTGTGTAACTGCAATCGAGACAGAATGACAAAAACATAAGTTAAACACAATTTGATGTAGGTTCAGTTAGACTTTATATATAACGCATTATGTCTTATGTTCATGTGCGTCATTCATTGCAAAATGAATTCCCTGTGCACATCTGAGCCAACGTTTCCAAATGTCTTTGCAGATGCAACAAGTTCGAGTTTCGAATCCCCCCAAAGACCACAAAACTTTTTGTACAGCATTTCAGATTCAGGATTTTATGCTTGCGGTTGTTTATGCAAGCATTGCAATGGCATGTGATAGACTGGAGCATGCCCTGTAATTGAAGGCAAGTGAAGTGAAGGAGATGAGTGGCTTATACTTTAATAGGAATTTAGAAAGATGGCTTTAAATATTTGGCATAATTAATTTGATTTGTCGAAAGACTTGTAACTTGATTTGCTTTAAATTCGATATTTCTATAGCCATATATATGTATGAATTGAATAGATAAGAAACATATATTTCTATAGTCTAATATTCTTTTCATTTGAGATGTGATTTTCTAAAGGATTATGCACAAATCTTAGCCTTCATTTGCTTTGGAAATATTTATATTTGTTTACCTAAAGTTTCATTTAGACATATCTACGAGGTCTGTTCAAAAAGTATTGCGAATCTCGAATAGCTAAATGTTTTTGGAGAATGACAAGACACTAATAAAGGGAGGATGCACGCCTGAGCAGATAAAAGAGCAGCTGAACAAGATATTAAAAGAGGATTTTTTAAGCTGATTCGAGTAAGGGCACAATTTATAATATCTAATACTAATTACTTTGACTCAGTAGACAAAATAAATATTAATAAATAAATAAAAAATAAATTTTTGAAAATACAATAAGTTCCCTAGAGTTTTGAACAGATTTTGTAGAAATAAAATACTTTAGAAATTTAAAAAAATTAAATGTTTTTCTAAATTATTTCAAATATTTTAAAAATAAATATTTTTAATCTATGTCTCTCAAATTTTATTTTAACAACCAAAAAGCGTTCGTTAAGCGAGCTCTCTAGTGTATCATACCGCGTCAATGGAAAGTATTTCTAGGGTATGCTTGAGTATAGAGCGCGCGTGCTGGTCTCGACGCCCACATGCCAGGCATTGCCACTCGCCTGTAGTCTGCGTGTGTGCATGAGTGTTATGAGTGGTGTGTGTGGTGTGTGGTTGTGTGTCAGGTGTGAGTGTGTATAAGTCTGGGTGTGTGTGTGTATGATTGTGCGCACAGTATTTTGTGTGGGTGGCTAATGAAATGCTTCAACAGCAGCAGCGACAGCAATCGCATCCATCCAGAGCAACAACTACAACTACACCTACACACACACACACACAGATATATTTATCATTGATCAGTGTTGCCCCCTTTATATATATGTGGATATATCTGTGATGTATGCATTGTAACTGTAACTCGGCGTATGTGTGTGTGTGTGTGTGTGTTGCCATGGCAGCTAGCAAGAGGAGCTTTTCCAGCGGGTCCCAATTGTCTGCAGCATTTTTTCCTTTTTCAACAGAGCGAGACAGAGAAACAGAAAAAGAGAGAGAGCGAGAGAGTGGGACGAAGTGGTAGCTGGGCAAACAAACAAATGGTCGCAGTCGAATTCAGGCAGCACAGTTGTCTATAATAAATTCTCCATTTTTGTTGTAGTTGTTGCTGTCGTGTGTAGCCACTCCGCCTGCTCGCTGCCACACCTCCCGTCGTCTGCCTGCCCCCAGTCCCTCCCTCCTCCTGCTTTGCTTTGCTCTTTGTCATGGTTTTTCGACATTTCTTCTTCATCTTCTCTTTTTTTTATTTGTGCGTCTTCTCGTGGCGCTTTTCACTTGATTTTTATGACATGCCCTATACGTCGCACACAGACAAACAACTTTTCACACAGCATTACGCCCACCTATGTGTTTGCACTGGGAGAGGAAGCACATGAAAATCAAAATGGAAATGGAAATGAAAATGAAATTGTCGAATCGAATGGGGTGACAAGACAAGTCCCCCACCTCCATTTTCCCAACCCACATCGAAATGGTGGGTCGAGGGGAGCCTAGCAATTAATGAATAAGTTAACAAATATTTCGTGTAAGTCTTATTCAGCATTTTGTTGCATAGTGTTGTTGTTATTGTAGACTCTTGTTTACTTGGCATTTCTTATATATATTTCCCTTGGTATATATTTTTTGGAATGGGAATAAATTAACAAACATTTCGTGTAAATGTTTTCGTGGCCCAACCTTGTTGCATAGTGTGTTTACAATGATATATGTATTTTTTTTAAGGCATAGAATAACATTTCAAATATTTCTTATCAAGAACTAACAAACTAATGCCCACAGTTTTTTGCATTGTGTTATTAGTTTTTTGCTATTTATTTTATATATATTTCTTGTTTGCGAAATTCTGATAAATTCTCATAATTTTTTATAAAATTTGTCACAGTAAACTTGTGGCTCAATTTGGTTGTGTAGTGCTCAAAAATGCTTATTTTATACTTAATATAAAATATTTGCTTTACTTTACTATTTTTTTATGTTAATTTACCAATAAATTAATGTAGACAAGTTTCTTGTAATTGTTTTCCTTAACTTTTTGATATATTTAATATTTTATTTTATATAATTTATATTTCTTTATATTTTTTATTTTTTTGTTATATATTTCCCCAACTGTGTTACACAGTGTTGTTATTGCGGTTATTTCGCCTATTATTTATTTCATTTATATATTTTGATTTTTATTTGTTTTTTTTTTTTTTTTTGCCTCCTCGAAAAATGGCGTCGTGTTTTGCGGGCTTTTCGTAATGCCTGGCATTTGGCCAAAGTCTACACAAATTTGCGTAAATAAACAACAAAACATTTTGTTGCAATTTTCAAAAAGAGTCGTTAATGCTTCTAGCTGTTGTGCCCAGTCGAAATGTAGATGAAAAAACGAAGGAAAACAAAGCAAGTTGCATGAAGTTTTGCAAGCGAAATAAAAAGCAAATAAAACAAGCAACAAAATGCGCAGCGAGTGCCAAAAAAAGGGGACACAGCGAATAGTCTGATGTATATATATGCTCGATATACATGCTATATAGATTCTATACAGGCTAGGCGCACATGTCGAACTGCCTGCATTTCTTTCTGTCGCGTCTTCAATTTCAGCGGAAACGGAAACGCTTAGCGCACGCGATTGGCATGACAGACATGTCGTCTAAGCCCACTTACATGACTCCCCCAACCAGCCCTAATGTTAAACAGCTAAAGTCAGAGCCATAGCCATAGCCAGAGCCAGAGCCAGAGCCAAAGCCAGAGCCTGACCCCAGGCACTGTCTCTCTGTCTATTTAAAGGCTTTTTCCCAATACTCTCACATTGTTAGGTTTAGAAAAAAATATATTGTTTATAAAATAAAGTTAAAGTTAATTTTTTTTCATATACTATTATAATTAAATAAATTAATATACATTCATTTAAATATATTATTTCATAAATACCTATGCACAATATATATATATATACTACAAGAATGAAAGGGCTAAGTTTGATTCATAGAACAAGAAAAGTAAAGTTTCAGCTTGTCGATTGACCCAGCATTAGAGTAAAGGAAAGCCATCTCACATATGTGTAGGTGTCTGTGTGTGGAGTGTATGAAAACATTTACGAATTGACAACAGCTTTCACACTTTCAGTGTAAAAACACTTAAAACACGAACCAAAAGCCGATGCCGCCGCCAGCTGTGGATGCGCCATAGACAGAAGCAGTGACAATAGCAGGAGAGAGAGTGAGACAGAGAAAGAGCTGGGAATGTGTAGGACTTAAAGGATTAGTTGGCTTCAAACTAAGAAGCTTTACAGCTTCTGATAGCGCCGCCAGCAAAGCACGATGCTAGTTGTGAGCAGATTAAATATAATATATAAAAATATCAAGACAATGGGAGGAAAAACTAAGACAACTTTAAGTTTTGTACGAATTTAAGCATTAACAATATGAAATAGTACTAATTAAAATTCTCGTTAATGTAAAACAATATAATATACTTCAATTGACAAACTAATCAACTGAAATGTATCATTAAATTAATTGTACTAGTTGAAAAATAAATTTCTTACAATATTTCATGACCGCGCACGTGGCGCCATCTATTTTTCATAACGCGCAACCGATCGCGACATTGCTGCCGCCATCTGTGCGCAATGATAATGCTGCACGCCATCTGTTGGCCAGCAACACGTGTTGGCAACATTTTAGCAGCACTTAGCAACATTTCGAACATACGGCACAAATCTTGTTGTTGCTGCTGCTATTGTTGTAGTTGTTGTTTTGGTGGACAAACAACAAAGAACAGATGTTTCGATTTTTATTTTGGGAAATTTTATTGCTTTGACAGAATTTCACTTTTTAACACAGAAAAAACGCAAAAATCATTTTGCTTTAATTTCCTTCCATTTTTTAGGGAAATTTTCAATTTTCTGATTTATGAGCACCACAATTGTAGGTAATTTATTTAAGGGCAATTTTAACACACAGCTGAGCGAGAGAGCCATAGAGCTAGACGAGCGAATTTGGCGTCCTTCGGCGCGAAATTTCAAAATTTTTGAATTTCAATTGCAAATTTTTGGCACACTTTTGATAATTTTTTTAAATATTTATTTAATTTGTATTTAATTGAGCGATAGGGAGAGAGAGAGAGAGAGCGCGCGAGAGCGAGAGCGAACGAGTTTAATTTGTAGGAGGATCGGTTCGACTGCGGATTGAATTGGGATCGAAATGAAAAATATGTCTGTGCACGATATTTCCTACACTTCACTTTACTGGCGCAGAAAATCGCATATACAACGAGAATGTATAATTATAAATAAATGTTCTATAAAAAACGCTTTTTTGTTCGTTTGTTTCGCTCTTGCTTTGTTGTTGTTGTTGTTGTGCTTCTTCTTACGACTGTGTGTGTGTTTGTTTGTTTGTGTGTGTGTTTCTTGTGTTTTTGAGCCATTTTAATTTTAGAGGTAACCCAAAATAAATAACCAACAATTCCGCAGAACGCGGCCAGCCAGCACCTTTTCAACAAATTGAACACAACAGCAACAACAACAACAACAATTTCAAATCCCAACAAACAATTGAAAATACTTCAAATTGCCACCCACCGCCCACAATGTGCCGTCTCCTGGCTTACAGCTTCTCTGCGGCTTTTGTAGCTAAACGTTTTTAAAGGCGTTTTAAATGGGCGGCTTTTCGTGGAAAATTCGTATTTTTTCCTTCGTTTTTTGTGGCAAGGCTTTGCAGCTTGACTTAGGCTCTAAGTCCCAAAAGCCAAAAATGATTGCAGAAGAAGCCGAAGTAAGAGAAATAAAGCCCAAACAACCCTTTCCCCCGGCTCAGTGTCCCTTAAAGAGCGTAATGTGATTTTGAAGCAGTTGCATTTAATAGGCAATTACGATTTCTTGGATATTTGTAGAGATTTCCTTAGTGGAAGTTTGAGTTTTATTTAATTAGAAAGTCTAATTTATGCTAACTTTATGCACGAATTTGTGAATCGGATTAAGTGTAGTAAAAGTATGTAAACAACTTGAACTTGAACTTGGCTTCCTGAAATAAGTCTAAAACTAGTTATAAATATTTGGGATTTAAGTAAAGTCGATAGAAATGAGACTAACTACGATAAAACTCACATCGATTAAAAATACTATTGAAATTGTCGATAGTTTCTTGTCAACTATTCCAATTATCTCACAGTTTATAATCATGTAGCCTACAGATCAAAGTAATTACCAATAATATATATCGATAAAATAAATCGATAAATATATGTCGTTAAAAATCAATAAATATATATCGATAATATAAATCGATATATATATGTATTGATATGCCAAGAACTAGTCAAAATTATTGAAATTGATCGATAAACACATATCGATAATCAACATTTTAAAGTAATCGATATACGATATATTGTACAAAATTGTACTAATTCCCCTTCAATACATTCTAAAAATTAGTTTCTATGTTTATCGACAATTGCAGTTATCGATTAGTTCCTATATCGATAATTGCAGTTATCGATTAGTTTTAGAAGAAGCCAATTTTCAATTTTCTGCGCTTAATCTTATCTGCCTCTCTCCCTCTCCCTCTCGCTTCTCTTCTTTCTCTACCCTAATTAAATCGCACTACACACGTCAACAACAGATAATTGTCTATCATCTATCGATAACCGAAGCGATAACTAGTAAACTTCACACACGTCTAGCAAGATTCGATTTGATTCCTTTTTACTCTTTTGCCGTTTTTATCGAATGCGACGCGTTTGATTGCTCGGCCGATGCGCTAATAAAGCTCTTAATTCTGGCCGATCGCTCGAAATAAATCGAAAGGCCGACACACACACACACACACGGACGAGCACACGCACACTGGCGCATACACTGAAATATATTTTAAAATTGTATTATTTTTGGTTTTCTTTGTTTTTGTTATTGTACAAGTATTTTGGTACGCAGTCGCTCATCGACTTCGTGTGTGTGTGTGTGTTGTGTTGTGGTTGTTGTTGTTGCTGCTTTGCCTATTACGATCTCCTTTAACTGAAAAGTAAAAGGAAATCTGCTGCACTTGCAAAATTTAATCATAAATAAAATATTTAAAATTGCATTTTAATTCACTTGCGCCGCGATCTCTATTTAGACATTGTTTGCCAAAAGAAAAAATACAAATTATCTACATGTGTGTGAGTGTGTTTCGTATAATTTAAAATTAGCACGCAAGTGAAAAAAAATAAAGAAAACATCAATATTTTTACATACATTTTGGTTCAATATGCACGATTTTCTATGGAAATTCCAACAAGGAGTTATTTTTAAACTAGCTTGCGGGCAGTCAGTTGCTCTGCTCTGCTCTCAGTGTGTGTGTGTGTGGGAGTACGTGTGTGTGTGTGTGGCAGATATTGAAAAGAATGCGTCTGTTTATTGTCAAAAATCCTTAGCAGCAGCGTCAAGTGTTAGGCGCAAATAGAATTCGAGTAAACTAAAGCTTTATCTCCCTGTCTCTCTCTCGCTCTCTCCCTGTATCTCCCCCTCCCTATCTCTTGCTATCTATTTACTATTTATTAAACTGAACAGTTTGTATCCCTCTCTCTCTCTTTTTCCCTCTCCATAAATGTCACAATCTTTTCTTTTCTAGTTTCCTCTTAACATTCTTATCTTTCTCCTTCTCTCCCTCTCTCTTTTTCTCGCTCAGTCTTTCCTTTCATTCTTCTCTTCTCTGTCCATATCTCTACTTCTTTTTCATTCTCTTTATCTCTATTTCTCATTCTACATCTACTTCTTTCTCTCTCTATCGACTTTCTCGTCTAGCTCTCCTTTTATACATATTTTTCCTTTTATTTCTGTCTCTTTTCTTCTCTCATTGTAGCTCTGTATCTATTTATCACTATTCCTATCTATTTTCTTTTGATTCTCATTCTTTCTCTCTCTCATCTCTTCATCTATCTATCCTTTTCTAAGTTTTTTTTTTCAATCTCTCAATTTCAATCTATCTATATTCACTTCCTTTTCTTTTGTTTCTTTCTCTGTGTATCTCTCTCTCTCTCTCTCTCTCTCATTATCTCCATCTTATACTATCTCTATATTTTTCTTTCTCTCTCACTCTTACTCGCTCTTCCATCTTGCCTCTCTCTGGCAGTCTATCCACTTCTCGATCTCTATTTTCCCTTCCTTTCTATTTCTATATTATTCTCTCCCCCCTCGCTCTCCTTCTCTTTCTTTCTATATATCTCACTGCTTGTCTATATCTCTCTCTCTCTCTCTATCTCCATCTCTATCTTCTAGTTAATGTCCTCTCGCTTGGCCTTTTGCCTGCACCTACTTTAAAGTCGCTTTGCGCCTCAATGTATGCTACAGCAAAGTTAATATATTAATGCGAAATTCAATGAGTTTTACACAAACACACACACAGGCACACCTGTACACCTGTACACACGCACACACACACACACTCACACACATTACACGCTTAATTAAGGACGCTAGGATCTGGGCGGGCATTACTGTCCCTCTAATGGAGCGCGACTAAGGAGCCCTTGTTCAGTTACTACTTGCGGTTAATATTTAACACACACACACACACACATACACACCTGTGCAAACACACACTCCTAGTGAGAGCTCAACGCACCTGTGTGCTGTGTATGTAAGCGTAAAATTTGATTGAAAGTGATGAATTAATGAGGCGTTAAATGAATAAATGTTAAATGAATTCTCTCTGTTGCCGCCCTATTGAACCGGAAGTTGGCCGCAACAGCAACAGCAACAGCAACAGCAGCAGCAACAACAACAACATAAATGGCGTTAAGTCCTCTGTGGCTTACAAAACTTAAACTTTCAACTGCGCACGGCAAAAACTAACTTAATTGGAGGAATAGAGAAAGAGGGAGAGGGAGAGCGAGAGGTGGAGAGATGGGAGCCAAGGCTGAGAGTTGTTAATTGAAGCTTAACTCTGGTAATATTTAAATCTGGTTTCGCTTGAACTTGTTGGGGTTTTAGTTTGAACTCAACTCAATTTCTCATTATGTACCCAATTAGCCATGAGTTGACCAAAGCTTTGCACGCTCTTGCCCATAAATTTACAATTTTAATTTGCTAAAAATATGTAAAACTTTATTTTTCTAATTTAATTTGATTTTCCCTCAAGCTCATAAACATTATGAAATATTTATTTTTAAATAATTAAATTTCATATTTAGTTGTTCAAGTGGTCAGAATTATATGTATTCCAGATTATTCGAGCACTTATCTATATATGCTGACTTTTCTAGCTCTTATCTATAATTATATTGTTTCTATTTATTTAGAAATCAACTTTACCTTTATATTATGGCTGCAGTCTGTGGAAATTCTGCTTCATTAAGAGTCAAACTGCAAGAGAAAGCAAAGAGAAAATTATATAAATATAAAATATATTAAATAAAATATAAGAACAAGTTAAGAAATGTATAAGTTACTATATAAATATATAAAAGACACAAATAAGATATATATATGGGATCTAATATAAATAAAAAATAGCTCATGTGAACTATATTTAAATAAATTTAAAAAATTGATTTAATAGATCAAAGCTTTATAATAATATATATATATATATATATAATAATATTATATATATTTATAAAATAGTAATACTTTTATGTTATAATAAATGCCAAACTATTTTAATATTATAATTATATAAATAATCCATAAATAGAGTTTTGGCCACATCACTTTAGCTAACTCACAGCTCCAGCTCTTAGCATGTCTAATATTTTGGCCATGAGTGTAATTTATCTATGAGTCGTTAAAGCATCATTAGGCTAGTCTAATAACTATCTCATTTTCACAGGCCAAGCTAATTTAGTGAATAACAGGTTGACTGTCTTTAAATTGCTATTTTAGGCTATGTTTAAAATATCTTCAAAGTTTTATAAAAAGATTCATTTTTGAGCTGCTTTAAAGCTGCCTAAAGACTATAATGAAGTTGCTTATTGAGTTGCTTTTAGCTTGACTTCAGTGAAGTTTTTTCTTCATTTGATTTATCTGTTTCTTTGCCTCTCATATAAATAGAGAAAAGAAAAATAGAACAATATAAAAAGATCTATTCTATTGATTTATTTTCCTTACATCTCTCTTTCTATATTTATTTTTCTCTTTTTATATTTTTCTTTCAGTCTCTCAGTTTTTCTCTTTTTTCTCTGTATCGCTTGATCCTTTGTTGTCTCTGCTGCTTTGTGGCTCTCCTTGTCTTTCTTTTTCGTTGTCTGTCTTGCTACGTTTCTTACTTTTTGTGTCCCTCTCTATCTTTCGGTAGCTATCTCTCTGTTTCTCTCTCTCTTTCTGTACATTCCTCCCCGTAACTAGCTTTTTCTGTTTCTTTGCCTTTTTCTATGTCTGTCTATGCCTCTCTCTGCCTCTCTCTGAGTAGCTCTGCCTCTGTCTGTTTGTCTGTCTGAGTCTCTTTCTAAGTGTATATCTCTCTCTGGCTCATTCTGTCCGTCTCTGTCCCTCTTTCCCTCTATCAATCTTAAACTGTCCGTTTGTCTGTGTCTTCTTTTTCTCTATTATTTTTATCTTCCTCTTACCTCTACATCTTCTCCTTTTCACATACATCTCCTTCATTTCTTAACTTGCCCCAAAATATGCCAAAAGTAAATTAAATCAAAGAACAAGAGAATTTCGCAAATATTCCACAGCTTCAAACGGCGTATTCCAAATGTAACCGTTTAAATGGGTAGCTCAAGTAAACAAAATAAATTTGTTTATCAACTAATTTCCAAAAAAAAGACAAACTATTTGAAAAGTTTCTTAAAATTATGCGGCAGATGAGTCTAAACGTTAGATAAAGCTAATCTCCAAGTGATGTGTTTATTTATATATATGCAAACAGCAGTGAATGCTATAAATAGAACAGCTAAGCACACTCACACATCCAAATTTGGATAATTTAACAAATGTTTTGAAGTTTGTTTGATTTTTGAATAGCTGCAGAGTTTTTCCAGTGATGTAAAACACACGAATTGATATGCAACCCATTAAAATAATGGGAATAACTAAACACGCACACACACACACACATAGAGATATAGGTGTTTGTGTGCTGAGGATTTATGTCGGAACAAGCTATTAGCAGCAGCAAGCGTCAAATCGTAAACGAAATCCCAGAAGTCGCAGCCATCCAAGTGCCAGCGAGTGCCAGGCACGCAAAAAAGAGTTTACACACACAGACACACACACACACACACCGACAATGCTCATATCTATGTAAATTGTAAAAAAATTGCAATTTAGTTTTATGAGCTCGCGGCCAGAAGCCGAAATGATAGATAGCAATTTGTTTGCCATTTGGCAGAGAGAGAGAGAGAGAAAGAGAGAGAGGTAAGAGGGAGAGAGACGGGTAGAGAGGGCGGGGTCGTTGCATTGGCTATCAAAATGCAAGCTGCGTGCAACGCGGTGTCAATCACTCAAGCAAAGCAAGCAAGCAGGCAAGTTGCAAGTGGCATGTGGCAAGTGCTGCCACAGAGCGAAAAACAAACAGCGCCGCATTGCATTTCCGCTGCGACAGATAACAACAACAACAGCAACAATGAGAACTTGGTATGCAAATACAGCCGCGTTGCAAGGTTCTAAAAACTGAGACCCAGCCCAAGTCCAAGCCCAGGTCTAGGCAAAAGCCATTCACTTCGTGACTTTGGTCAGCTGCAAATTGAAGTTTTCGCTTTCGCTTTTGCTGTTAACTTTTAACTATAAAACATTAAAGCGAGGCGGGTTTGAAAAGTTATCAGAAAAGGACATAATGAAATTACCCACCGCAAGTGGGTAATAAAGGGAAAATAAATATTTAAATGCCCAACTGTATAACACTTGATTTAATGTATAACAATAATCATAAATACAAAGAGCATTAACTGGGAAATTATACATGTATAACAGTTAATTTAACATATAACAATCTTCAATTTCAAAGAGAACAATTACCTGCTTAAGAGCGCCTCACCGCCAAACACACCATACACTTGCTCTCTTTTAATCTTCCGCTCTCTGTTATGATTTCGCGCCAATTTGCAAATGCTAACAAAGCTTAGCTATGCAAAATGAAAATCATTTGTCTTAGCCTTACTCACTATTCAAACATATATTTCATTTATGAAATACACACAGCACACACTCAACATATTTGCATAAAGTACATAAAGATCAATTAACTAAGATCTATTAGCTAATGGTTAACGCGCGCAGAAAATGCGACCGATCGACAGGACAGCCGCGCACTGACTAATTCCCCTCACTCTCTACGCTCACTCTATTTACGCACAAAAGCAACCAGAGCGCAGAGCACGCAACTATCGTCAGCCATATAACGGGATCATAAGCAAGACAACCAATAGCAGGCAGCACAAACACTAAGGCAGCTGTATCTCACTCATATAGCGGGATCAAAAGCAAACTCTCCTGGCTATGGCTCTCACTCCTTCCAACGCTCAGCTACAATCAAATATCAAATACAAATGTACTGAAGAACAGTGCAAAGAATAATTATCTTACCATCCCCTACTTTCCAATATTTCCCATTATATAAGCTGAATTTTCGAACAGTTCCTATAACAGTTCCTACCCTCGGTATCGCATATTAAATGCCAAGTGCATATAAATTCATATGCATTTTCCAGTATATACATGTCCTTGAAATAACACACAACAGCCGCAACGACTCTTGTGGCGAGTGGCGTTGACTATGAACCTGTCTACGACTTTGGCACTGTGCCTGCAGCCTGTAATTGATAAGCCACAACGTCTCACCACCACCTCCTCCCCCATCCGAACACGAGTGAGTGACTGTCAAGTGAACGCCATTTGCATTTCTAATCGAGTTGAAAATGTCGCCGGAAACGGTCGCAAAACATAAAACCAAACACACACCAATACACTGACATACACACACACTCACACACGCAAATTTAGATACGCGACTATTTTAGTATATTTTGATTGGGCGTTAAATTTTGACAGACTAAAGGCAAAAGCACAAAGCAAACGCCACAAAGTATGCAACAAAGCTGAAAAGTCAACATCGGTTGAAAAATAGCTGCGAACCGAATTTGTGTGTGCTTACTTTACCGTTGCTTTTTTTAGTTTCAGCTAATTTTAGAGGCAAAAGTTTAAAGTTGAAAGCATTTCCGCATTGCATGTTGTTTGTTGCTGCGCTGACGTCAGCAGGCGACGCGACCAGCGCCACGCAGCCATTTTGAATGCAATATTTAAATGTTAAGCAAATAATTTATGCGAAACTTGCACTGCTGGGATGGTCTGGAAATCCCCAAAAGCCACGACAGCTAATTGAAAATTCCGCTGCATAACGCAAAGGCGCATTAAACTCAACTCGCAATTGAGTGGGTTTCGCATTGAGTGCATTAACTGCTGCTGCTGCTGCTGCACACGCAATGAGCTTTGAGCGGCTGAGTTGTGCACAACTGAACACGCCCCCTAGCGTCAGCAATTGCAATTTCACCAGTGCGCCGGACAACCCTCGTTCAAGTTCAATGCAATGCCAAGAGGCCAGTGCCGCTGTCCTTGACGCCAACACCGATGTCGACGCCAACGCCAACGCTGATGCCGATGCCGACGGCGACGGCGACGCCTTTGCGAAGCGCGCGACAAAGCTGCCAAGCGACGATTTATATGGGCAATGGCGACTGTCCGTTTTTTTTTTGCGTAATGTAGGCGTGCGAGGGCGTAACGGTCAGCCCTTGCAATAGGGCAACGAGCGTGGTGGATAGGTGGGTTTCACACATGTTGTGTTTGTATGCGAGTCGATTGCTTGAGCAAATCCCAAAGGTAAACAATGCATTGTGAAATGTAAGGTAAGGGGAGTAGGGGACTTCTAAATACACTACACAAATATTTAAAATATAAAAATATTCGAAATTTAAATGTACAAAAAATAAATAAATAAATAATAAATAAAAAGTAAATAAAAATAATAACTTTTTAACTTTTTAAACACAAAAAAATTCAAATAAACTATTTAAAACTAAACATTAATTATTTAAAATAATTTATGAATAAAATTAGTTTTGTTTTAATCTGTATTCGTAGCTTAAAGATAGGCATACTAATGCCGTTAAGGCCAAGTGCTTAAACTAAGCGCCATGCCTAAATTGTTGTTATTCAATATAACGCTAAATACTGTTAAGTATTTACATGTACTTGAATAATAACTACAGCTAAAGCGTTTAGCTTTTGCCACCTTTTTTAGTTTGTTTGTCCTCTAATTAGTTTATGCGTAACACTAAAGAAAATTGTATAAGAAAATGCGATTAGTTGAGACAGAGCACATGAGAAGAAACGTTAAGACTAGCGGTACATATAGATGTTATACTACT